TTTTTTTTTTTTTAAATTTTTTTTTTTTTTTTTTTTTTTTTTTTTTTTTTTTTTTTTTTTGTTTGTTTTTTTTTTTTTTTTTTGTTTGTTTTTTTTTTTTTTTTGTTTTTTTTTTTTTTTTTTTTTTTTTTTTTGTTATTTTATTGTTTTTTTTTTTTTTTATTTTTTTTTTTTGTGGGTTTTTTTCCTTCAGAATGTACAATTTCAATTGAACCATCGTCGCGGTACGATCATTGGGAAACATTGGTATCCTTGATCCAACTTGACTATTTCAATGCAGTCAAACAGTCCAGGAAGAACTTTCACCACCGTGGTTTCATCGAGTGGAACCCCGAAGTCTTTCCCGAATACGACGAGCTTCTTCAAGTAAGTCACAGCCAACATGGGGAACCACTCGCAGTCCCACAGCTGAGCCACAGGCTCAAACCTTACGCCATCTTCCATGTTGACCAGGCGTTTTAAGGCTCCGCAAGGCTGCAGTATGTAAGTAATGTTTCCATGTCTGATGGTGTTCAAGCACCAGGCTCTGCCATCAAAATCATGCATCTGTCTGAAGACACCGGTCTCTGTGTCCAGTCCATACACGATTGCGTTTTGCTCCGTGTTTATGAAGAAAAGTATGAAACTCTCAAAAGACACAATCTCGGTGGCGGCTCTGATGTCCTCTGATCGGAACACTTCAGCCCAGGGGGTTTGAATTGAATCATCGGGAAACTCGCAGAAGCGATGCAAGACACCAACGTTGAATCTATACAAGGATCCATTGTGGGAAAACAGCCTGCTCGAATAGTTTGGATTGCTATCGTAGCTGGCATCGTCAAACATAGCATGGTTCCAGTTTCTCTCCTCGTCAAGTATTACTACCAAAGAGCTGTTGAAAGTGCTCACGCCTTCCATGAAAATTTTGTTCTTGAACACAATCATGTCTTTGTATGTCACCCCGGGTGTATGAGGAATCCATGCAACGTGGCTGACAGTATGGGGAGGTTCCATTCTGTACACAGTCAACTGGTCTGCTGTCATGATGATCACTGCATGTTCTAGTCGACTGGAAAAACGATGTGTGCCTGACTTCAACCAAGCCCAATGGTTGGGGTCAGACTTGCCAAAGAATTCTACCGCTTCATTGATTATTTCAAGGCATTCGGGAGATTCCCTGGCAATACTTTGTCCGATGAGACCTTTGAGACACTCCCCGGATACAAGAAGCATTTTGGCTGATCTGAGCAATTTGGGCAGATGTTTTAATCTCTCATTTGCAACTGGATGATTGTGCACACGAGGAGATGGTGCCAACTTCGGTTCGTTGGAAGAGAATCTTTGATCTTCATCTGAGGTTTGAATGAAACACCCAATCTCTATGACCGGTGTGTCTTTTAAGCAATCAGTTAATTCCAACTCCACAGTATTGTCTTCATTGTGTGTCAACTCTGGCTGATATTGAGCCCATTTCAGAATGCTGTTTACGGCAACATCTTCGCTAGACACATTTAAATGCCGATTCTCTAGCAAATCCGCAAACACGTCCGGTGTCATCAGCTGAAGAAAGGCTTCTGTTTTGATCATTGCCTCAAAGCCAAAAATCATAAAGTTGTTTGCACGATTAGCGACGTTGGGGGAAAAAATGCTTTTGGCAAAGTAGTACATCTCTACACAGTTCCCGTTATCGACGTGTTGCAGTGCAAAATGTTCACACTCGTCACTCAGGTGCTTTATCTGAAGAAGTTGGGTGGCCGGCCAGATGTCCTGTATGTTGTCTTTAGTCAGCCCAGATACTCCGGTGTACAGAGCCCTGCCAATGACTTCAAAAATGTCCCTTGACATCAGTTTCAACTCCAAGCGATTCTCAATAGACTCTTTCATCCCTGACCGAAATACAGACTGGAAATACCCGGAGGTCGCGTTCAGGAGGTGCTTATGGCAACGGTAGGTGAAGCCGTCCACAATGACATCAAAGTCGCTGAACGGATCATCGGCTTGCCATGCTGTTGCCAGACATTTCTGAAGTCCGCTGGCCAGGGTCTGACTCTGAAAAGCTCCATGGTTCTTCAGATCCTCACCATTAACGACACTGATGAGATTCTGATTTGCTGGCATTGGACGTCTACTACCCATGACTTGTGGACGACAGGCGGGCGTGTGCTCGTTGTTGACAATATAACTGAAATATCATTTTAAATTGATTATAAATTATTTAGATTATAATGTGTCTTAATATAATGTTACTAAATCACGAGAATTCATAATAAAATGTATAAACTGAATTGGGTTCGCGGTAAAACTGAATATACTAAATCGAAATAATGTCAACTTTATTTTTAAATAATTTTTTTTCAAAAGGATGAAGACATATAGGGTAGCTGAAACTATTACATTAGTATACAATCAATTCAAATACAATTTATGAATAACTTTTGACTTAACAACGACTTGTCTTTGTCTTTTATAAAACAAAATGTACTTGATTGACTTACAAACAAATTTATATCAATCATCAGTTTGGGATTACTAAGTCTGGAAACAGAGAAAAAATTTAAGTAACTCACTTCTGACTCGGTAAAATGACCATTTAAGAAAATATTGAGTTATTCATTAAAATGTCTAAGCTATTTGCCTGGTGTTTTTATTCTTAATGAAACCAACGTTTACAAACTCAAAAAAAAAAAAAAAAATTCTTTTAAATTACGAACTAAAATTTAAACTCTGTGTCTTCCTAGAGAAAGAACATAGAAACACGAAGCTAAAAAATGTTTAAACATCCGCACGGCTCTTGTTTTTTTTTTTATGAACGCGTCACGTGATCGCGAGTCTTGTATCTGCCTTATAACGTTATTTCATTGTATGGCGGTATCATGATTATGATGGTACAAGTTTGAAATCAAGCAAGAAGAAATCATTTTTCATCCTCATATAAAGATCGTACGGACTTACTTACAGTTCATTTTAGGTCAAAATTTTTGCACAAGACTTTCCGTACATTTAGGAGCGTTTTGCAACACCACAGATTCTACATTTAAAAAAAAAAAATCTTATCCCACCCCCAACCACACGAACCCAGTGTTGGGGTAACGTAATGGCAAATGAAGGAACGCGCCTTTTAGCGACACTGCTCCAAGGAATTCAGTTGAATTTTATTTTATATTTTTTAAAAAAAAAACGTAAGTTGTTATAAGATTTTCCGTGACTGTTACCATTAAATGGAGGATTTGGAGAGACTGGTACGTCTTTTGACGATAGCTGGAATCAATTCTAGGAACCACTGTCGTACGCGAACTAAAGTAACTGAACGTCACCCAGATGGAACATACAGAGAGCCATTCAATATTTGATGACACATTCCATTTCGGCAGATTCGTCCCCTGGCCACACCAACCACCGCTTTCATACACGAAGTAGATACCTGCACAACATTTTAATTCAAACTTAGTGGACACCCTGCCCCCTCCAACCATTCATCCATCCCTGTGGCGCTTCAGCCAGTCTAGGGCTTTGGCCTGCATCACTACTTCCCTCCACTCAGACCTAACTGATGCTTTTCGTTGCCATGCTTGGATTCCCAGTTGTTGTAGATCTTTTTCCCCATCATCCATCCATCTAAGCTTAGGTCTGCCTTTGAGCGGTTTCTCTTTGAGGTTTTGGTGATGCGCCCTTTTCACGACTTTAGTCATTTGGCGATCTTTCAAAGTGTCCTGCCCTGCCCCCCCCCACTTTCCCTAAACGCATGCGGTCGTTTACGATGGCTTCAAATTCGAACGGTGAACGAAATGTTATATTTACTACCACCGTACTCCTATAGAGTGTAATATGCTAGTGCGTGATATATGGGGCATTTCTCGGATGTTTACTATGGAAACCTAACCAAGGGTTTTAACACTGTCAGCAGAGAGGATCTCTGGAGGATCATGGGCGAAAACTAATGCCCCAGAAAGTTAATGTCAATGGTGCGGCAATACCAAGATGGTATGCGGGCTAGGTTCCGGGAAAATGGAGAGATGTCAAACCAGGTTGCGTCCTGACACAAACACATGATCATTTTCAATATTACATGTTGAGCTTATTACGTTGATGTGAGGGTCTTTTTAAAATGGAAATTGCGTTCCCTCTAAGGTTTGTTGGTTCGTGTGCAAAATCATACAGTTGTGTGCATAGTTTTACGGCATCAATTTCTTGTGTGCAAACTTTTAAAGCCCACAAACACACACTTTCATGGAAATTTGCTGCGCGGTACTCAAAACTGCTGCGCGGCGTCTGTGAGATCGCTGCGCGGCCGCGGCTTAAACGGAACATTGGTTATAACAAGCGTCAAAACTCGACCATGTTACTGACAATAAACTTAAATTATAGAATAAGCTCACCCCGGGGATGGGGGCAAATTTAGCTTCATAGTTTTAAGTTAATTTTTTAACATGTTTCAAAATGTGAATTTCTTTATTGTGAAGATTACGGACATTTGTCAGTAAAGTTAACCGATTACATCCACCCACCCCCAGCTCCCCGGGCCATTGCTTAAGGATCGTACTACAAATGTCATAAATATTTTAAATGATATAAACCCCGTGTCCCCAATTGAGGTGCTGTGTCTACGTCATCACTACGATCGTGGGGGGGGGGGGGGGGGTCGACAACCAAAGCGACGGAAAACTGTTTGTTTATGAGAACCGCACGGTCAATAAATTTCTCCTAAGGTCTATTCTTTACTCCTAAATGATTGTTAAATATTTAAAAAACCTATTCCGCCTTTTTGGGCTAATACTTATTGATGTCCTTATTACTTTAATTAAACAATTTGTATCAAAGTCGATTTCTTACATTTTCGTGGTAGCTTTCTGAGTTTTTTTTAAAAATTTGCAGTCCTAATAATGGAAGATGGGTTTGTAGACGCCAATAAAGATTCCAATCAAGTCGTTTACGCTTTGCTGTACGTAATCATGTATAAAGTTTTGATATTTTTGTTGTTGAAATAACTGTATTATTAACTTAATTGGAAATCAAACCAGGCTTTAAAGTATGTGTTACTAGACCTCCTAACTATTCAAGCTATCTGAAATTATAATCAAGGAAATAAGGGGGAGACTGCGGTCGGTTTAGAAAAATTGGAAATAAGCAAAACAAAATACAATGCTGTCCTCGCAGATACTAATTTTCAACCAAGTGTTTTTAAAAATTGAATTGTGTTCATCCTTTTTGTTCGTCAATGAAGACTTCTTTCCGACACGTTCATTATGTTTTGTTTGCCTTTTTTATTCAAGTTTGCCGATACTTTATTTCACTCGTTTCCATTTATAACTTAAAATCACAAGAGGTGTGCTCGACTTACCCATGCAGCGTCTTGGACATATGTGTCAGGATGTAGCGCACAGAGGATAGAGTCACAGCGTCTTGGACATATGTGTCAGGATGTAGCGCACAGAGGATAGAGTCACAGAATAGAATTTCACACAGATTGTATATGTACCGGTACGGAATTCAGTTCGCACAAATAAGATTCAACCGCTTCTGATTATTAACGTGTCCCTCATGACTGAGCGTTTTTATACACCTCCCTCAAGTCTCAACCGTCCATCTGGTGACGTAGGTAACAAGTTTGCGCTGACCAGTCATCTGTGACATCATGGCTTGTCTCGCATTGGAAGGGTAGTGTACCAGATTGGGTGTGGATGGAAGGGCAGTGTACCAGATTGGGTGACGAGACCAACAATAGACTGCTGATTCTTTTATTCTAACCACCGACGCAGCGCGTGGACATGTTTGGGGAGAGGGGGGTCTGGGTAAAATAGGGTATTGAAGGTACTTACCTGGTGTCAAGGATTACCACATTGGTAAAAAAAAATATAGAAATCAGAAGTTCGAAATAACCTTGAGACTTGAAGTAGGTCACTTACAAGTGAGTACGTTATTGAGTTTTAATAAATGTTTATTGTAGTGAACTAATTGTATATAGAATATCTCTGCCCTACGGAAGTAGGCTGCGCCCACGGTAAAGTCTGAATTTAGGCACTTTTTCTTAAATATCGCAAGTGCGTTTTAAGTGTAATATTTTCTTTTGGTTTCCTGAAACAGTTGGTGCACTAAATCTGCTGTGTAGAAGCGGGTGGGGCATTAGAATATTAAAATAGTTCAGGGGCGTGAAAAAGATGTGTGATATGTGGGGTTGTGAGCCAAGGTGGGGGGGGGGAGGGACACTCATTTGGGATTCTTTTAAAGTGCATTAGTTGTATGCATGTTTATGGAATTACTAAAATATAGCCCCCCCCCCCGGGCACCGAAATCAGGCGGATGCGCTCATTAGTCCTCTCCATTTTCCTGTATGCCTGCGAATCCTGGTGGGGGGGGGGGGGGGGGGGACACTCATTTGGGATTCTTTTAAAGTGCATTAGTTGTATGCATGTTTATGGAATTACTAAAATATAGCCCCCCCCCCCGGGCACCGAAATCAGGCTGATGCGCTCATTAGTCCTCTCCATTTTCCTGTATGCCTGCGAATCCTGGACATTGACAGCAGATCTTGAAAGGAAAATAAAGGCGATGGAGATGAGATGACCTACTGGTGACTGTGAAAAAAAAACACGCAAACTACAATGGTACGGCCACGTAACAAGAAACAAGGGCTTGTCATAGAAATATTGCAGGGCACCACAAGAAGAGGGAGAAGAAGAGGAAGACAAAGAAAAAGATGGGAGGATAACATCAAAGCGTTGACAGGACTAACACTGGGCTCACTGGGCGATGCTTTGCGTATTGCAAAAGACAGAGACGAATGGAGGAGGATAGTTCACATGTCATCTGTTGCGCCCCAACGGTCCAAGGACTAAGGGACATGATGATGATGATGTTTTGTCGAATTTTCAGCCCCCCCCCCCACCCCCCAATTGCTAAATTGTACACTCGATATCACACATAAAATGACCTCCTTAAAAAAGGCATCCACTTATGAAGAAGTTCAAACACAATTCAAGAGTTGAACA